AGCCTACTTTCTCACCTCTGCAAAGTCTATGAGAAAAATCACATGCATCAAGTATACCCTTGATGAGGGTTTGAGAGGGGATTAAACAAGCTTTTACAAATGATATTATGCAGTTTTTGCCATTATGAAATTGCCTAAAAAGTATAGAGAAGAAAGGATCTTGTAATGGTTATTGATTATTGAATAAAAAACCATTTGATTCACTATAGCAAAATAATAGATGATACAATAATAAAGTAGCAAATATAAATATATAATAATAGAGCAAAATGCTGCCTTAGTCTTACCTCTGACAATTTATTTCCCATAAATATGTCAAAATCATGCAAGATTACTTGAAGTAATTAATAATAATAATAATAATAATAATAATAGTTTCATCAAATAATTACTAATATCAAGAGAATCATAGCACTTGTAGACATTTGATGTCCAAGAATGCTTGCTATCATCATGGAAAATTTTCAGCCCAGAATTCAAATGAAATAGGGATTGCCTATAGGTGGTAAGGTACTACTGATGCTACTGCTTCTGGATAACAGTATCAAACTTCAGAAAATTGCAGTAAATCCTGAATGAATATAAGTTATGGAAGACTATGTGCTTTACTGGTATTCATCCAATGTCAAAATATCTAAAGTGGATCCGTGTTTGATGGATTTATGGGAGACAATTATTTCAAGTGACAGAGATAGTACAGATGGCTTATGATCTCTAGTGTTTGAGGGAATATCTCCACATTGTTGCAATCACAGATCACAAGATATTGAGGTACATAAGTGAAGATAATTGATAGTAGACTAATTAGGTGCTAGCCTACCAAGTATTCTTTAGTCTAGACAAAGTAGTTCCCAAAGTTCTACTTTCATTCCTTTTGATTTATTTTTGATGTTATTCTATAGACACTTTCTAATTACTCCATTTCTCTTAAAATCCAAATGAAAATATTATTCCAAATTGGACCAGTCCAAGGGAATAGGTAAAAATATCACTTTCTGGTCTTTATTAGTTGTATTACTTTAGGCAATTTCTGAGTATCATGTTAATTTTCTTTAATCACACAATACAATGACCAACCGGTTTTCTATTTTGTCCCTGTCTTCCACCCCCATCTTTCCACTATTTGGGCTCATGAATGGGACACCATCTTTCCTTATGATTAATTCAAACAGCCAAATACAGATTTCATTACAGAATGCATTCAATTTCAAATGTATTAAAAATGTTACCGTTCTAGTCAATTTGAAGACTGTGCCTTGAATTGAGCTTGCTTTTTTTTAAATCTCTCTCTGATTTTGAATTATTGTCATTGAATCCCTAACTCTTCACCTCTTTGGGAGAAGGCTTGTTCTAGTCTTTCCATTTTTATTTTTCATAGAGAACTTAGATGAGACAGTTTGCTGTGCTGGTTTGACTGCCTGCCATAACATACAATGCAGTAGAATGTACAGCTGGTGAAAGTCTATTTAGAATTTTAAAAATAAAATATAAAGTAGAAGACCAGGTGCTTAATTTTTACGTGTTGCATTTCATTAAAAACATTCACAGTATCATTTTGAATAATTTTTATCCATACAGATGTTTAGAATATTGTACACAAAAATTTACCATTTTTGATGTTGTTGTTTCCTTTTCAGTGGAGCCTTTACACAAACAAGATTAGTGGAATAGGAGGGCTCCAGTTTACATGGTTATTTCTTATAAACAATAAATTGTAAGCCTTGAAAGACCGACTGCCTCAGTTTCTTTAAGTCATACCAGTCATACTAGAAGAATGGTACTCAATTAACATATAATATAATAATTTTAGAAATCTTTCCTTTAACCCTTCTATCTCTTCTACCCAATGACTCATCCTTCCTTCTCTGCTGATCTGTGCTTTACTGCTAAACTTTTTGGATAAAAGTTGTCTGCAGTCATTGCTTCGACTGCCTCAATACCTATTCACTATTTAATCCTTTGCAATGTTGTTTCTGTCCCATTATTTCTTTGTTTTTTATTAATTTATTTTAGTTTATCAACAATCACTTCCATAAGCTTTTGGGTTTTAAATTTTTCTCCTCCTCTGTCCCCACATACACATTCTTATTAAACGTATTTTTACATTACTCATGTTGTAAGGAAGAATTAGAACCAATAAGAGGAACCACAAGAAAGAGAAAACAAAGAAAAATAGAAGAAAAAAATAGCAAATAGTATGCTTATATCTGCATTCAAACTCCATAGTTCTTTCTTTGGATGTGGATAGCATTTTCCATTATGAGATCTTCAGAGATGCCTTAGATCCTTGCATTGCTGAGAAGGGCTAAGTCTATCAACATTAGTTATCGCAGAATATGGCTGTTACTGTGTACAACATTCTCCTGGTTCTGCTCACTTCACTCAGCATCAGTCCATACAAGCCTTTCCAGGTTTTTCTGAAGTCTGCCTACTCATCATTTCTTATAGCGTAATAGTATTCCATTACATTCATGTACTACATCTTGTTCAGCCATTCCCCAATTGATGGGCATTCCCTCAATTTCCAATCCTTTGCCACCACAAAAAGAGCTGCTATAAATATTTTTTGTACATGTGGGTTCTTTTCCCATTGGGATGATCTCGTTGGGATACAGCCCTAGAAGTGCTATTGCTGGGTCAAAGGGTATACATATTTTAATAGCCATTTGGGCATAGTTCCAAATTGCTCTCCAAAATGGTTGGATCATTTCACAACTCCACCAACAATGCAGTAGTGTTCCAATTTTCCCACATCTTCTCCAACATTTATCATTTTCTTGTTTTATCATCTTGGCCAATCTGATAGGTGTGATATGGTACCTCAGAGTTGTTTTGATTTGCATTTTTCTAATCAATGGTGATTTAGAGTATTTTTTCATGTGACTATAGATGGCTTTAATTTCTTCATCTGAAAACTGCCTGTCTGTCCCGTTATTTCACTTAAACTACTCTTTCAAGGGTTTCTGAACTTTACCACTCCCCAAACCAAACTCAGTGACCTTTTTTTTTTAAAGTTCTGTTCTTCCTTGACCTCTTTACAGTTGGTATTCTATGTTATACTTTTTCATCCATTGGTTTCAGAGATATCACAGTCTAGTTTGCAGACAACCATTCTTAGTTCACGACTTCTTTAATGGTTAATTACTTTCCTTATTATGGGAACATCATGTTTGTGTCTTATTTCTTTACTAGTCTAGAAGCTCCATGAGAAAAGGGAACAAATGTATAAATTTTGTGTCTTTCTGTGCACTTACTATGGGGTTCTATAGGGAATAATATTTAATGAAGAATGAATGAATGAATGAATGAATGAATGAATGAATGAATGAGTAAACTTAAAACTTGTTTCTTCAGAATTCTATATGGCTGGCATGTGAGAACTTTTAGAACAATGAAATAATAGAATCTGAGTTGGAAGAGTCCTCCCAGGTCAACTGGGTTTACCCATACCTGAAAAAGAACCCCCTCTACAAAACAAATAGCCATCAGGGCTTTGTTTGAAGATGTCAAGTGGAAGTGAACAAACATATTATGGCCATAAATAGTCCATTCTATTTTGAGATAATTCCAATAGTTAGGACAATTCTAGTTGTATAGTGAGCTGAAATCTGCCTCTCTTTAGATTCTACTGCTTGTTCTCCTCTCTGTCCTCTAGAACAGTGGTTCTTAACCTGGGTTATGTGAACTTGCTTTGTTTAAAAAATATTTTGATAACTATTTCAATAGTTTTTTATTGTAGCTCTTTGTTGTTTTTGTTTGTTTGTTGTTGTTTTAGGCATTTAAAAACATTACTTTGAGAAGGCATCTATAGGCTTCACCAGACTGTGAAAAAGATTCATAACAAAATGAAAAAGTTAAAAACTCCTGCTCTAGGACCAAACAAGACGGTATTGATTCTTTTTCCATATGACAGTCATGCAAATACTTGAAAACATCTATCAAGTCCCTTCCTTGGTCTTATCTTCTCTGGGATAAAAATCTTCATTTGCTTCATCAGATCTTTATAAGGCAAAGTTCCAGGTATTCATAATAGGCAGAAAGATTTTTGGTTTTGGAGAGTCACAAAGAGCAATTTTGGTATTTGGTGCAACAGTGTGCTGGGAGTAAGCAACACAAATGTCCTTGAAATCAATTTTGCAAGTTAGATATGAAAAGAATATTAAGTAAGATAAATTTGGTTGAACGTGAATTGGAATTAGTTATTATATTAAATACTTAGCAGTCTCAAAATTTCTGTGTCTTGAGACAAAGTGCAGCTGGTCTGATCTAGTTGTATTTTGAATGACAGTATAGATTAGAGCAGCTTATATGTTTCACGAAGTCTAGATTCCTGTAAAATGTGATTGAGAAACTTATTCCTTCATTTGACAAAAAATAAATATTGACTTCTTGCTATGTGCTAGGTGCTGTGGGCAAATCCAAAGATAAATAAGACGTATTTTTTGAATTTGAGGAGCTTATAATCTAGACAGAAAAAGAAAATATGACTCTTCAAATTGTAATGGGAATGAGAACATACGTGCTTAAGAGAAGAACAAAGTGTGAGATGAGATTGAGGAGTTAGGTCCTTACTCTTTTATCTTGGAATTCAGCAGGTAAGCATTTTAAGTTATTTTGTTTCCTGCAAGGTGACAAGGTGTTGATTATGGCAGTCCTGCTGAGGGAAAAAAGAATCACCAGCTCATCTAAAATTTTTATCCGACCTCTGGCCTGCTGAAGTAATACACAGTTATGTAGTTAGAGTGATGAAATGACCATTTACATGCCTTCAATTGTTAGTCACCATGGGCAAGTGGCTATTTGCAAGATTGGTTAATGGATGAATAGCCTGGGAACATCATGCATGTTTTGTGAGTTATTTCTATCATTTCAACAGTGAAGAAAAGGATGAATTCATTAAAAACTAGGCTACCTTTCTGTATTTTAGTAGTTTTTGTCTCTCAAAGCCATGTTATCCTGGCAAGGGGAAAAAAGACACTAATGCATTTCTAATGGACAAATCCTATTTTTATTGAAAATAATATTACTTAAAACATATTTATCTCTATTTATTCCTCTGACACAACTACTCACAGGAATATTTCATCTGCCAAGAAACATTGATTTCCATAGTATATTGCTCTATTCTGTGGAGAAAATAGGTCTCTCTGTGTTTTTCATCAATCGATTCAAAAGAACATTTTGGACCAAAAAAAACTTTGTCAAAAAGGAAAAGCCATTGTCTTGAATGCCTGTATTTCATGCTATTCATAAGTTTGAAATTGTTTTCCTGATTTTCCTAAAAATAAAAAGTCAGTTTTCCTGTTAAGGTTAACTTAGGGTATGTAAAATAACCCCATTCTCAAAAAAAAGTGAAATATTTGATCCTTGATAACAGTGACAGTCCTTGTTTCCTAACTATAATTAGACTGTCCTAGTAGCCATCTTAAGTAACTGGTTGATTTGGCTTGCAACCTTATTGTGATATAACCCTACATAGCATGTGGGACAGCAGGGTAAAATCTGGTTATTGACAACTGGTCTTACCTACCATATTGTGATTGTGAGAGACTGTATGTGCTATATCATTCAGAGGTTTACAAAATGTGATTAGTTTTTCCTCTAATTGTAGACTTACACTAAACCTTCCTAGGGATGTAACCAACAATTCAAGCTAATAAAAAACAGTTTGTGTTGGTGTGTGGGAGGTGTGGAATTGACTTGATTTTGTGCCTTTGGAAAAATTTGACATCTGCAGCAAACACAACACATTTTCATCATTTTCAATATAGTCTTGGGAAGGATAATATTCCTTAGGGTTTGTCAATCTTCTGATAAGTAAAAAACAGCTTTTTTTCCCCCACAGCCAACAATTGCCTCTCTCATTTCTCCATGGCAGTGTTGGTGCAGTGAACAGTGGAACTGAAGGTCAGTCAAAGTTGAATTTCATCACAGTGCATCACTCGCTCTTGACATTAATAGGAGGCACATGGTCATGGACTCTTGGCCCAAATTGGAAGAACATGGATAGATAAGGAAATAATACAGGTTGTGAAATAGCATGCAAAAAATCATGAATAAAATAATCTATTGGTGGTTGAAAGACTGAGCTCTACTTTCCAAAATTCTTGATTTCTCAACTTTTTTTCAAGTCTGAAAAAGAATGAAAAGAATGAAGAGATGGGATATTAGGGAAAAAAAAAAGACAAATGCTCAGATAGCCAGAAATGGAAAAGGGAGCTACCTAAGTCTTAGAACATTTTGTTAATTATCAATACTTGAGTGTTGATGTTTCTGATTGACATTTGGGAGAAGGAAGAAGATTTTAAAAAATGAAAATAACTGGCAGTTATAGAGTGCTTTGGTACTTATGAAGTACTTTGTATCTCATTTACTGAGGTAGTTACCACATGTATTATTATCCTTGTTTTACAGATGAAGAAATAGGATGAGAATTTAAAGGTCTTGCCCAAGTTCCCCCAGGTAGTTAATAATCGTGCTGGCATCTCAACTTAGGTGCTTTGATTCCAAACCAAGTATTTATAGAGGACTAGGTAAGTGTAGTCTGCTACTCACTAGTCACATATATCTCTCTAGAAGTGAAGGGCAAAGAAAGGACAATTTTTCTATCAAATGCTTAGGGATTTCTCTAGCTGAAATAAAATTAAAGAGAAATTCCAAATCTTAGACTGATTCTGCTATATACCTAAAAACTCATATTTGGATAAAAAATTAATTTATGTTATACTAAGTAACATTGTACCTACACCTAAAATATGTAAAAAAAAAATTAAATGGTTAAAAAATATGCCTTTAAAATTTCCATTTCCATGAGGCATTGTGGTACAATAGCTAGAACACTGGTTTTGAATTCAGAGGATATGAGTTCAAGTGGTAGAATAGAAAAGTCACAGGCTCTGAAATCATAGGACCTGTGTTCAAGTCTTAGCTGTACCATTTACTGCCTCTTTGACCTTGGGCATGTACTTTCAATTTTCTGGCTCTCAGTTTCCTCATATGTAAAATGTTAGATGACTTCTCAGATCCCTTTCATCTCTAAAATCTATGATCCTAAACTCTAGACAAGTCACTTACCTTTTCTGGGCCTCATAAAATGAAAAGGTGAGATTAGATGACCTGTCTGGTCATTTCCAGACTAAATCTAAGTACTTATGTACCAAAGGGGCTATTTCTAAAGTCAATAAAATAATTTTCATTATGGTAGTTAGGAAATGATTCTAATTATGGAGCTTCTCATATGTGGTGATTTTTGAAGTTAGGTCATTTGTGGTTAAGAGTAGATAGAACTTTATGGGATTCCAGTGATCAATGGACCCTTCTGAATATTTCTACCTCATGTGGAATTAGTCACACAGACAGGAACAAAATAGTAAGAGATTTTTGGGAGGGCCAGTGACCTTTTTTTTCAAGTTCATTAGCTAAATAAATATGGCACTAATCAATTATCGATCTTTGTTTCCACATATTCCAACATAAAGGGAGACACATTTGAAAAGGAAGAGAACAAAGTACAAACCTCTCAGACGGTTATATCATTTCTCCGACATTCTCACTGTTGTGTGGGATTTTTCACAGCTGCTCTGGAATAGCAGCCAATAAAAATATTGTGAAACTTCCCTTTTTGTGCTATGCAAATGCAGGGAAGTGAAAATTGCCCTTTTCACATGATAACACTCGATGCGAGAACCCATCCTATTGTTAGCATCTTCACCAAGCTGTCATGAGATCAAAACTAAACCCTGATGTTGATAAGAGGAGCTTGGCCGAGGGAGCAAAATGCCTTCTTTCCTAAATGTACCAAATAACTCTCCGTATGGTTCTACTTCCTCGATTAGGATTCTCTCACTGTCTGTCTCCAAAAGATGCCTTGTTTATTCCTAATCTAAGACTTTGCTCATGCTGCTTCCTTTGCTTCAAAGACCTTTTCTTCCCTTTACATTACAAGGGGTAGTGTTCTTAAAAGGAAAGTCAACCAACATCTATTATTTAGTTTTAGATGAACACTGTGAAGTCTGGGGATGATACAGTTTAGCCAAGATACAGTCCTTGCCATTATGAAGTTAACAATCTAATAATAGGGGAATGTTACTGATAACATCATGGCATTCAGGTCGAGAAGAGATCTCGATGGTCATAGAGTCCCATTCTTTCATTTACTGATGAGAAAACTGAGGTCAAGAAGGGCAAGAGTGCTGGATTTGATCAAAAGCTGTAGGATTAAAAATTTTGAGCTATAGGGGTCCTAAGCAGTCAATTTTACCCAAACCTTTCATTTTATGGATAAGGAATGATACCCCAGAGGAGTTATACAATTTGCATGAGGCCATACAGTTAATAAGTTATAAAGGAAAGATCTGAGCTCGCCACCCCTAATGCCCGGCATCTTTCCCGCTCTGTCACACTGCCTCTCAATGAGCTCAAGTCCCTATGACTCCAAACCTACTCATCCTTCAAGGTTTGGTTCAAGCTCTTTTCTTATCCCAGAGAACTCTACTTCAATTTTTTTTCTTTTATCCTCTGAACTCTTATAAAACTTATTGCCCATACCAATCTTTTAGGGCACTTATTCACGTGCTGGCTCATAATGTTACCTAAGGATTTCATTTTTGTATGTATTATACTAGTGATTTTGTAAGCTTCTATGAGGCAGGGACCACGTTGTGCATCCAAAAGGAGTTCCAGTGACTGCATCAAAAACCTGGACTCTGCTTTCAAGAAACAGATTCAATAATACATCCCCATGGGATAGAACCTAAAATTAACATCCTATTATGGCAACAGGATAACACCTTAGTGGTAGTCAACAAACAAAAATGATCTTAGTGAAAATGATTGATTTTCCTAAAAGTCACCTAATAAAGGAAATTTTTTCTAGGTCAGTTGATATTCAACCTATGTCCTAAAATATAAATTTAAGAGTCTGTAGATTTCACTAAATGGATACCCACTGCATTAAAAAAGGTACCTGGCTATCTGAACCACTTATTATCTATGTATCTTTCTGTTTTCTGTTTTCTGGCTATGTATTTCATTATTAACTTTTGCTACAAAGTAATTTCAAAGTTATTCTTCCTGACTGTATTCTTTTTTGAGCTAATTAGTTCCAGCACTCTTTTATCTTTTCTTACATAGAAGCCCAGTCTAATTTTCATTAATCATTGTATTGTCTCTTTTCTGGGACTCTTCTATATCTACTAAAAATATTTCTATTTTGGAGGAGGGATGGTCAAAACTTAAATGGAGTATTCAAGGCAAAAACATCTAGACATTAATTTATATATTTCAATTGTATATACACAAGATAATTACCATGTTACTTCTCTCTTTGTAATCCACTGCAATGACTCATTCACATTTTGACCATTATTCTACATGCAATAAAAATAATTATCTACTCAGTGATGGTTTAAATGAAGAATCAGCAATTCATTAAGATCCTACAATTATTTACTTCCAAAGTCCCAGTGTAAAGCTTTGGACCCCATAACATAGCAAGGAGTTTGTTTAAGATGCAGATATTCAGAAGTTTTCATTTATCGCCACACAGTGAAAAAGTAGAAGAAAAGAATGAGTTCAACATAAGTCTTGGGGCCATATCCCTGGGGTACTTAGGGGGGCATCACAAATCTGACCCCTCTTCCCAAACGAAAGCAAAACTTCCAGGAGTTCTCAGTCAGCTTATAAACAAAGAAGAAAACATACAGAAGTAATGAAATTTCCAACTGTGGGAGAGAGATTTTTTTTTTAAATCAGGGAATGATTGATGTGGTCACAATTCGATGTTTGCTTTTAAAGAAATACTTCATTTCACAATGGATCTTTCCCTCCTCCTTTCTCCCACTATTTTATAGAAAAGGAATATTCAATTGGCTCAGAATCCCAGGATGGTTCTGAAAGGAGTTTGGCTGCCGTTTTCTATTCAACTTACTCCCCATTCCCTGGTAATATTACACTTGTGACATTAATACAAGCCATAGCAAAGTCATTCAGCATTTGGATTCTGTACTCTCTGTTTTTAAGGGGTGTCATGGAAGACGGTGGGGTTTTGTTCTGGAGGTTACCATGAGACCAGTTCTCTAGTTTTTCCTGGAGTAAAATTTACCTCATCCTAAAGTATCCATGATGAACAGAGTCGTATGAGTCACAGGGCTGGAATGGATCTTAGAGTCCTCTTTTAGTCCCTGTTACTTCTAAGATCAATAATAAAATGCTCTGTTTGGCCTTTACATCCTTTCTCATCTTTCCAGTCTTTTTACACCTTTCTCCCTCCTCCTACCCCCATATTCTGCAATCCAGTGGACCTGGCTTATTTTCTGTCCTGTTTCTAGCATGTAGCATTACGTCTCCCAACTCCTGGAATTTTCACCAACTGTCTCTCATGCCTGGAATGCTCTCCCTCCTCATCTTTACCTCCATTCCTTGGCTTGTTTCACGATTCAGATGAAGTCCCACCAATTCTTCAGGAAGCCTTTCATACTCTTCCCTCTATTGATTATTTCCAATTAATTCTGTATATATCTTGTTTGTGCATAGCTCTTTGCATGTTGTCTCCCCCATTAATTAGACTTGGAGCTTCTTGCAAGCAATGACTGCTTTTTGACTTATTTGTACCCCCAACACTTAGCACAGTACCAGGCATATAGTAGATACTTAATAAACGCTTGTTAACTTTCTGACTTAGATATTTTGTGCTCTATTTCACTTTATAGAAGTGAAGCTGAGGCCCAAGGGGGTAAAGTGATTTGTAAGTTTTCTATCAATGTGAACCCCTAGTAACTTTATGAGATTGTATTCTATAGCAAGTTTGTAGAGATTTGATATCAAAATTTTCACTAGAAAGTTGCTGTGGTTTTTGTGGTATTGTTCAAAATCTTATTCTGCAGATTTTCAAAGTTTTAAAATGTTCATGGTGGAAGGCAAAGTAATATTGAACACACTATAATTTCACTTTTCCAGGAGTTTCCATTTTAAGAACTCAAGATGAAATTGTTTAGTGTGTTAAATTAGTCCTTCATAGATAAAGAATTGCAGTGGAGTGAAAGGCTATATGGGATAATGGAAAGAACGCTAATCTTAGAGTCAGAGAAGATCTGAGTTCAAGTTCTTACTCCGTCATTTACTACTTGTATGACTTCCAGGCAAGTCAACTCATCTCCCCAGGACCTCATTTTGTTGATCTGTACAGTGAGGGGCTTGGGCTACATGAACTCCAAAGTCTCTTCCAGATCTAAAGCTATAGGGATATAAGTTCCTTAATTTCTCCAAAGGTCAGTAAATAAATCTTGAAAATGGACAAAATAATACTGACACAACCTACCTCATGGGATCACCGTGAAGAAACTGTGTTTTTAAGTAGTAATTATGAGTCACTATTGTGTATTGTTATTTCTTTAATCCTTCCAGGATCCATGGTTTTCCTCTTCTTGTGTAGATTCTTTACACCTTAAGAGTCTGCATCACCTATTACGGATGGAAAGAATGAGTCATCTAGAGCAAAACATCCAGTGGTGGTCCTTTCCAAACTTGACAAGGCTGGTCTTCAAATGACACAAGTAAATTATCTTAATTTATCCATACAACATCCTTATGAGATTCTTCTTGTTCCCATTTTACAAATAAGGAAATTGAGTCTCAGAGAGTGACTTGTGTAGGGACATAGAAATAACGTGTCCGAGGAAGAGTTTAAATTCAATCCTCTTGTATTCTAAGCTCAGTACTTTCTTTGCTATGCCATGCTATCTGTCTCTAAAAATGCTAAATCAGCTCCTCTTCCACATGACAAACCTTCAGATATATCAAGGGCTAAATCAACTAATGATTGATTTAGCAAAAAATAATCTGAATTTTTCATGAACATTACTATATTTTCCTTTCCAGCTTAATAAAATTTCCCAGAACTTGTATCCCTCTGGTCACCTCTAATGCTCCAATGAGGAACAAGAACAGGATTTTAGTAGAGGTATTATCGTGATGACTATCATTTTTTAAAATAGCAGAAGTATATGGTGAGAAATTTTAAAAATATATTTATTCCTTCATTTTGATCTGATTTCTATTGAGAGATTTTGAGTTGATTCCACAAGACAGGGAGTTGACTATGGAAAGATTTGAGGTAGATCAGACTCTTCCTCATTCCTGCTTAATATGGGATTTACTCCTGATGGAACAGGGATGAGGACATTTTTCAATAAGATTAATATATACACATATAATATATATCTGGAGGTGATAAATTCAACTAAGCTATGCTAAATCCTAGCCAAGGAATATTCCCAATCTGAGTTTCTTAGTAATTTTACACACAGTAGTATATGACTCTTTTTGTAGTAGAAGCCAAGAATAAATGTGGGTAAAATTAAAACTTTTCTTTAATGCCAAAGAAGTGTCAACCATCAAGTAGATTCCATAGTTTCCCCTAATATATGATGATATCATTCATTTCAGCTACCTGAAAACTTTCTGTGAAGGTTGGTTTCTTTCCGTCCTACTCCTCTCATGTGGAATCCCTTGCCACTGACTAGTACTTAAAACCATTTATGGCTTTAGCAGATGTTTCTGATTTAGAAACCAGTGAATACTTTTTGAATCATTTCTTCCCAACTCCCTTCCCCCTCAGGCCCCTGTTTCCCACTCCCCTTTCCCTCTTCTCTATCCCCACACTCTCCCTTTCTCACCTCTGCTCTCCTTACCTCCTTACCGCCTCCCCCAATTTGCGCCATCTAAGAGCTAATTCTGTTAGGTTAGAAATTATAACCATGTTTTTAGTGGATGAAATGAAGTGCTGACTGATGCGTAGAGGTAGGGCTTGAACCAGGGTCCTGAGGAATAGAGTTTAATAGATTAAAGTATCAGTCTACAGAGAAATGTGCCAGTCAGAAGCTTGATTTTCTTTCAGTCCAACTTAATTTTTCAGAAACCATAACGGAGGCTGGCAGTCCTGAGCAGCTCATTCCTTCAGCATCTTATTTATCAGCAGAAGGTCAAAGAATTCTTTGGGGCCTGTTTTTCATGAGCAATGATAATTATGCATGTAGACAGCCCTACTCATATTATGTAATATACTAAGTAAAGTTGGGTGAATGGTTTTGATTTAAAATCAGAATTACCATCACTGGACCCAAATATATCCAACAGACCAACTAACCCAGAAATTACCTTTTGTGTTCTGGATCAGATCCATCAACACACCCCCAATGAGGAAACATCCTTCTCTTTGTGGCTATTGATGGGCTTTCAGCCTGACAATTCAGAAATGTGCCATTGACGCAGGCCATATTCAAGAGATTGCCTTCTGGGATTTTTCAAGCATCAGTCTAAGTGGGGGCAGCTTGGTGGTGGGAAACATTTCTAGATAATGCATTCTTTTAATTTCTTTTTTGAATGCTTTGCACCAGAGCTATAAATCAGGGAAGCTCCCACTCCTCCCTCTCTCAGTGACATCAACCCATTTGGCCTGAATTTCTGCTTTACAGAGGATTAGCAATGTTCAATCCAATGTAGGACAGAGCAGATATTTCTACCTGTCTGTATCTACTTATGTGATATTTAACACCACTGTAACCAAAGTCATTTCCAAGCCAGAGGAGGAATGTCAGTGAAAAGAATACATTTTATCATATAGAATGTGCTAACATCAGAACTTTGATATTGTTACAAGCTATTCAGGAGTCAAAAAATAATTTAACTGTCTTTAACCTCTTTAGAAGTACTTATAGTTCTCCCCCAGTAGATAAGTGGGCAAAGAATATGAACATGTTTTCAAAAGAAAAAAAACAATCAATAAATTGATGTTAAAACATTAAATAATAAAACATAGAAACTTCTTAAAATTACTACTAAGAGAAATACAAATTAGAACAACTCTGAGATTCTACCTTATATCCAGCAAATTGGCAAAGGTGATAATAGTCTGGAATAATCAATATTGGAGAGTTTATAGGAAAACAGACACATTAATGTTCTGTTGGTAGAATTGTGAATTGGTTCAACCTTCTTGGAAAACAATTTGGAGCTATGCTACAAAAGAGGTCCCAATTAGTACAAATAATGAATCTCATGAAGTGGTCAAATTGTTTTAATTTGCACTGCATATTTCCATCGGGATCCAACCAATTCACATGTTTAACATATGATTATATTTTAAATAGTTTGAATTCAAATAATTCAACCACTTTATGAAATTCATTTTTCATACTAATCGAGACCTGACTGGATGTCCTAGAATCCAATGATACTACTGCTAAGCACTTATCCCAATGAGGTAAAAGAAAGATGGAAAGGACCCACATACACCAAGATATTTATTTGTTTGTTTGTTCATTTATTGGCAAGGCAATTGGGGTTAAGTGACTTGCCCAAGGTCACACAGCTAGTAAGTGTCAAGTGTCTGTCTGAGACCAGATTTGAACTCAGGTCCTCCTGACTCCATGGCGGGTGCTCTATCTACTGTGAGACTTGGCTGCCCCCACCAAGATATTTATTGCAGTAATTTTGTGGTAGCAAGAACCTGAAAAAAAAGAAAGGTGCCAACCAAGTGTAGAATGAGTGTACAAGGTGTGGCATGTTGGTATCATGGAATATTATTTCTCTGTAAGAAATGACAAATATTAAGAATTCAGAGAAACTTAGAGTTACATGAACTATAGCAGCGTTGAAGTTAACAGAATGTAGAGAACAATATCCACAGTAATGTAAAGATAACACTAAAAGACTTTGAAAATCAAGGCAATGGCCCATCTTGTCTCCAGAGGAGTGTGATGAAACCCTCTCTCTTCTCACTGGAGAGGGAAATGACAGTGATGTTAAAAATATCAATAGGGGGGCAGCTAGGTGGCTCAGTGGATAGAGCTCCAGCCCTGGAGTCAGGAAGACCTGAGTTCAAATTTGGCCTTAGACCAATCACTTGACACTAGCTGTGTGACCCTGGGCAAGTCACTTAACCCCAATTGCCTAAAAATAAAATATATACACATATACATCAATAAGACACTAAAAAATAATTTATGGTTGCAGATATTAGATTGAAATAACATGTGTTTGTTTTGCAGGAAATCATAGAAGAAAAAAATGAGGCTGGCTTGGTTAACATCTCATAACCATCCAAGAGTTAACTAGGTGGCACAGTAGAGAGGATACTGGGATTGAAGTAAGAAGGAATCCTGAGTTTGAATCCTGCCTCAAATGCTTACCAGCTCTTTGACCACGGGCAAGTTATTTAACCCCTTTCAGTCTCAGTTTCTTCATCTGTAAAATGGAGATAAAATTATCTCTCTCACTGGGTTTTTGTGAGGAACAGATAAGATAACATGTAAAGCACTTTGAAAACCTTAACATGTTACATAATTGCTAGGTATTATAATTATTATTGTTATTGAGACCTAGATTTACAAGTTCACAGAGTGTAAGAGCTGGAAAGGACCTTACCCATCATCAAATAGAAATGGAACCCACAAATCATCATTGTTGTTCAGTCATTTTTTCAGTTGTGTTTGACTCTTCATGATCCCATTTGGGTTTTCATGGCAAAGATACTAGAGTGGTTTACCACTTTCTTTTCTAGATCATCTTACAAATGAGGAAACTGAGGCAGACAGGGTGAAGTGACTTGCCCAGGATCACCTACCTAGTAAGTGTCTGAGGCCTGATTTGAACTTGGGAAGATGAGTCTTCCTAACTCCAGCCTAGGCATTCTATCTACTGTGCCACCTAAGTGTCCTAAATTACATTATAAGTATACCTTTAGGCCATATATTGACTTAGAAAACCACATATTAGCATTACTTACATTCTATCGTATTACATTTATTTTGTTAAATATTTCCCAATTACATTTTAGTCTGGTTCTGGCAGCAATCAGGAGTGTTACTGGTCATATTCCTGGAGCATGTTTGATGCCTCTTATCTAGTCAATTTTTCTAGTCCCAAAGAGGTTTTTAGTGACTTCCTCAGAATCATGCAACTAGTTTCTATCGCCAGTAATCAAATGTTTTGACTCTTGGTCCACTGTTCTTTCCACATTTCTGTAGCACTATTCATAAAATAAATTACCAAATAATTTTATCTTTAGACAATATCTAGTTGCTTTCCTATTTGTAATTGCCATTGCTTCTTTAGCTTTTTTTTTTTAAAGCATTGTACATAGAATGTTAGAGCTAGAAGGGATGTTTGAGACAATCTAGTCCATTCTCCTCATATGACATTTAAGGAAACTAGAACCCTAAGAGAAGTTAAATGACTTAGTTAAAGTTATACTGAAGTTTGGTGTCAGAGGCTGGATTAGAATTCAGATCTTTTGACCCTAAGTCTAATGTATTTCTACTACCTCTTACTGCTTCTTTGCAAACTTTGAAGCATTATATAAATACAGCACATTGAATATAAACGCATGAATTATATCCAACAGGAGATCCAAAGTAAACAATCTTCCTATAGGCCACTTTCTAACTTTCCTAACATCCCCC